TTAGGAAGTGATCACTCAATGCGGATTAACCAGACATGATCAATCCTAAGCATACATGGCCATAAGGATCGCCCAACGCGGATTAACCAAGCGCGATCCATATATAGTATGGTCCCCCAATGCGGATTAACCAAGCAGGACCACTAGTGACCCCCCAATGCGGATTAATCAAGCAAGGTCAAGATAATCAGGTAGGTAGTGACCCCCCAACGCGGATTAACCAAGCAGAGTCACACCTATAGAATTGTTAGGAAGTGATCACCCAATGCGGATTAACCAAGCATGATCACCCCTAAGTATAAATGGCCATAAGGATCGCCCAATGTGGATTAACCAAGTGCGATCTATATATATTAAGGTCCCCCAATGCAAATTAACCAAGCACGACCATTAGTGACACCCCAATGCGGATTAACCGAGCAGGGTCATAGTCCTCTACTAGCCCTTAATTTACAAAACATTTCAATATGCAATTCGAATCACTTTTTCACAAATATTACCAATCCATGAATCAAATCACATCTAATAAAAATAGATCGATGACCAATTATAAAAGAATCACATTTTAACAGAAAATACATTTATAAAACCAAGTCATATCCGCTAAGGATATTAATATAAAGAATTGGGTAATCACCATATCACATATATTAAAGTCACTCACCGAGACTAGTCCGCAAGGCTTCACTGAGTCTCTAGTAATACTAATTTTAGTAATTCAAATGTTTCAAGACCTGTTGACCAAAAGTCAACGATGGGGGTCCACACCCTAGCAATTTAATTCGGAAGATCCACACATCGTAATCTAGATCTGTAACTTCCTAAGGTCCACAATATGCTCAAAGAACAACATACTAAAATCTCATCGCAATCCGACAGTCAGATCTCCGCCAATTGCTAGAATTAGGTGGCGGTTAACAATTAATTTTACTAACTTAGAAATCTAATTCGGAAAGATCCGTACGTCAGATTCCCAATCCGTCAATTCCAATTATCATCAAATATTATGTTCCATAATGCATTAGGGTTTGGTGACGATCCAACGGTCGGATTGCCGAATCAGATTTTGATCAAGTAATGTATTGTAATGAAACTAACTTCAAACAACCAAATTACATCATACGGATATCAATTATGGAATTAGGGCATCTAATTCAACTCAGGAAGACATCATTGGCCCACTGGCTCTGCGCCGCCGCACGCGCCACCATGGGTGGTGGTCGACCACCCAATTTGTCAAAAAATTCAACTATTTTAAAAAATTACCAAATTTTACAAACAATTAGATCTCAGTGAGGGGATAAATTTTCATGCCTATGGCCAAGTCTAATTCAACCGGGAAGTGTCCCAATTTCATCCAAACTTGCCGGAAACCCTAGAAATAGGTGTTCCTCGATTCATCACCAAAACGAACTCTGACGCCTCATCCAATGCTTGGGCCTTGCTCCAGGGGTTGAGGGGAGTCTATTGGTAGTGGTGATTGACGGTAATCATTGTCGGAATCACCGTAAAATGAGAAAACTCGCTAAAAAACCCTTGGCACTTTGTGGCTTTGACCTAGACAAATGGAAAGGAACAATGGAAATCTAACACTACAAGGATATATGACTCATCAAGAGCTTTCCATAGACACCAAGATCACCCAAAATGGAAGTCGGATGAAGAAGATATGGTCGGGTCAAAAATGGTGGTTCGCGGGTGAAAAACAACCCATTTTCCTTTCCCCTCCTTTTCTTGTTTTCTGATTGAGCTATCCCCTCGTTTTCTCTCCCGCACTCTCTCCTTTCTCCCCCCTCCCTTGTTGCCACTTGGCAACTTCTAAACATTTATTTATTTATTTTCCAACAACTAAAATGTCTCTAATTTCTTCGTTATAACTCCATTTCATGAACGGTTTTCGCCTACGTGTTCATGAGATCAAGTTCTATTCGAAAATATAAATTATGACCACGAAAGGTCTACAGAATTTAAATAATTAATTTTCAAAACTTCAACCCTCATTTTAAATTATGCCAAGAAACAATCAACATTTTAAATTAATATAAATTCCCGAAAAATAATATAAAATCGCAATAATACAATTACGTAGATTATAATAGTGAAACCCAGGAACGGGATTTCGCAGTTGAGATATTGTCACACCACAAGGTAGGCATTTTAAGGGGAGGAAACTGAAGATCATGGAAGATTTTACAAATCCAAGTGATCTTTGCAGCTATGTAAGCTAAGGATTGATACTCAACTTATGTGGAAGATCGAGCAACTGTGCATTGTTTCTTGGCACTCCAACTTATGGCATTTGATCCAAGAAACACACATTATCCATTTGTTGATGTCTGTCAAATGTGCATCTTGCCCAATCAGCATCTGAGTGTGTTGAAAGATGAATAAGACCCTTTTTTGAACCATAAACCATGAATGATAGTGCCTTTATGAAATCTGAGTACTCATTTTGCAGCTTGAAGGTGTTGATCCCTTGGAGCATGCATGAATTGACATATTTGGTTCACAACAAATGAAAGATCAGGTTTGGTCCATGTAAGATATTGCAATCCTCCAACAATTGAATGACACTTAGTAGGATTGAGCAGAAGAGGCCCATTGTGATCCAGTTTCTTAGAACCAAGAGGAGTACAACAAGGTTTTGCACCTTCCATTTTGTTTTCTTGAGAAGATCAAGCAAGTATTTAGTTTGATGAAGAAAAATACCTTCAGATGTTCTATGCACTTTCAACCCAAGAAATCGTGTAATAGACCAAGGTCTTTAACAGGAAAATTGGCATTGAGTTTTTGAATGAAAGATTGACAGAGATCAGTGTTTGGACCAATGACTAAAATGTCATCCACATAAACAAGAACAATAACCAATGCAAGTACATTAAGAATAGACAAAGATGCATCTGATGAAGATTGCTTGAATCCAAGAGTGAGAAGTAATTGGAATAGTTTGTCAAACCAAGCTCTAGGATCTTGTTTGAGACTATAAATGGATTTTCTTAACTTGCAAACATGGCTTGGAGATGTTGGATCAACAAACCTTGGAGGTTGTTGCATATAGACATCCACCTTTAAATCTCCATAAAGGAAGGCATTGCTTATGTCTAATTGGTTTAAAAACCAATTGTACTGAACTACAAAATGTGAGCAAAACTCTAACAGCGACTATCTTTGCAACTGGACTAAAGGTTTCTTGAAAGTCTACTCTTACTGAACCTGTTCTCTCCCTTCATTTTAACTTTTATTAATAACAATAGTTTATTAGGGAGAATGCCAAGTCATCCATTAGGGAGATTGCCAAGTCACCCGGTTCTCTCCCTAATAAACTATTGTTATTAATAAAAGTTGGAATGAAGTGGAGAGAATAGGTTCGGTAAGAGTAGCACAAAGCATACTAACGAGAGTGGTCAGCCTCATACCAGGCAAGGTACTCAGGGTTAGGAGAAGTAGTGACCACTGGTGGAACAACTATAGAAGTATCAGAATCAGCAGAGACAGCAGAGGAGGCAACTGGAGCAGTGGTGGTGATGACCGGACGAGACGAATATGAACCATGAACAAAATGCCAGAAATGTTGGCCAGTTAAAAATTGCTTGACCTGACTCTCCCAAGGAAGATAATTTGTTTCAGATAGTTTGACAGAAGCCAAGGTAGAGATATTGGGAATGGTGATTGAGGAGGAAGATGCGGTTGCGGAAGCCATGGAAAGAAAAAGGACCAAAGCTCGAATACCATGGGAACTTTCTATATTTCATTGATTATAAAATAGGGCCTAACAACCTTATCTACAATTATAATCTTCAATTACATTCTCCTTCAGTGAGTACATTTTGCACTCACAGAAGGGAAAAATATTTGTACAGTATGTAGAAAAAATTTTCTTTACAAAAATGTAAGCAACTCATGTATTTACAATGTATTCAAAACTGAGAAATAATATCAATGAAGGTATCTTGTCTGCGGGGAATTGTTAGACCACCCATTGGATGATCAAATCCAAATTCTTGCTCAGCCTCACTTAGCAAGTCTTGGAATGAAGGTTGGTTAAGGTGTGATACAGGAATGACAAACCGCTGTCTCTCGTTCTCTCCAACAAAAACTGCTAAATAACCTTTTGGGACATCTGCTAAACTATATGAGCCACCCCGACTTGGATTTGAAAAAGACCGCCGAAGAACTTTCTTTGCATGAGTTACACTTGGACAACGGAAACCCATGGTTTTATGTCTCTCTAGAAAAATGTATGGTGCAAGTTTATAGGAGCAAGAAGAAGAAAAGAGTTGAGAAGATACAGAGACTTGAATGGATGGCAATGAAAGTCTCATGAAATATATGTAGTTAAAGTTTTATGTAGGATGTCCCCTGTTGAAAGAAATATGTGGTGACGATTAAGACCACCTTGATGGGGCATAGAAGGGACACTGATCAAATGGTGCTATTTTCCACCTCAACTTCAATATTTTAGGTGAAATGTTAATGGAGTTGCTAAACCAAGAGAGTTCAATCTACTTAGTAAGATAGCAGATTTTTCCTTTAGTTTCTGAGAATGAGTTGAAAGTGCTTGATCGTCTAAAATTGAATCATCAGTGTTCCTTCTCTCTAGTGTTCCAATAATACGGTTTTCTGGTTAGATCACATAGAGTCAAAACAAGATGAGATCTAATTTCGTTTACTCGTTGATGAATCGAGGAAGCCACATCCCTTCTTATACATTAGGCCCCATATGCCAGATTTTCATAGCACCACACATTCTTGTTTGTCAATTAGCATTTATTAAAATTTGAAAGAAACGCAATTTATCCACAAATTCTTGTTTGATAGGGCATACGATGCACTACTGTTGGTCCACTGGTTTAACATCCAGTGTGCAAGCAATTGATTATTCGAGAACACGTGGATGCAACAAAGGGTTATCCAGTTGTTAGGAGGCCTAATCCAGAAAAGTAATTCGTGATTAGTGATTACCAGGCATGTCTAAAGCAAAATGCCTCTTATCTAACAGGCGTAAATAACTCCACTGGAACAAAATTCACACCTAGTGGTCCTTGTGTTGCCTGTTATCCGGAGGAGGTAGGGAATGCTGCTTCCACACAACAATCTGTCAGAAAAATCTGTCGGAGTAGGAGTTACGTTGGGAGTTAGGTGAGCAGCAAGACAAGACCATGTGATTTGGTATAAGCTAGTTTCCCTCATCGTTTGTTTTTGCAGCGCCTCTTGACCAATAATTTCATGTACCATATGAGTTTTTCGCATACCCTTTCATCTATATATACACGTGATCAAGTTCACAATGGCATTAGCAACTCAAGTCTCCACCATCCTAAGAATCAAAGCATTCTCTTTTTTCCAAGTCCTTCCAATTCCTTTTCTAGTTCTTTTATCCCCTTGAGAACAAAAATCCATGGGTTTCCGGTTGCCTGGAATTGTTAGCGCCAAGAGAAGTCTCATCCGGTCTCTATCTAATTCAAAACAGACAGCTTCAAAGACCTTAGATATCCCAAAAGGCTATTTTGCTGTGTATGCTGGGGAGAGACAGAAGAAGCGGTTTGTGATTCCAATATCATACTTGAATGATCCTTTGTTCCAAGATTTGTTGAGTCAAGCTGAAGAGGAATTTGGATATGATCATCCCATGGGTGGTATCACAATACCTTGCAGCGAATACACTTTCCTTCATCTCACTTCCCGTCTAAGTGTGTGAGTGAACACTAAAGAAGTGAATATGCGATCCACTTTCATGTCCAAAAGGATCCTCACTTTGGAACTCACTGAGCTACGATGAAGGAGAGGCTATGGTCAATCATCCATTGAATCAACTCACATCCAGTGTTGAGGTGAAGCCATCAGTAATACTGAAGCAGCCAGCTGTGATCTGAGAAGAAAGTCAGAAAATTAATGAAGCCGACAAACGAAGATACTCATTCAAGATATAATCAACAAAACCCAACTTTCCAAAAACGATGACTCAAAACTTTTCCACAGGCGCCGTTCAGAGTATCTGACATGGGAATTTAAATTAACCCAATTGGTTTTATGTTGGCTGCTCTAAGTCAATTAAATGTAAACTGCTCCGCTGCTCTTGAGCAAAATATATTGGAATATGAAATAAATTTATATCTTGATCCAGTTTTTTTGTCTTGATATTTTAATTATACTTCTAGCTTTGGTGCCTTAAAAAATAATTATACAATGTTATCTGTTATATAATTAAATTATCAATGACAACAGATTTTCTCAAGAAATGACTTTCAATTAGTTATACTTTGTACTTCATATAAATCTGTGGTGCCTCAAGTATTAGTGTTGGGCTTCCACTCAAATAAAGTTACCAGATATATGTGCTAGACACAAATAATATGGGGAATTTCTACACTATTTGCCTTTTATCCGATAATTTAATCCTATGACTGGGTAAAATGTTTTCACCGTGTCAGTGCAACTTTCAGATAAAAAACACTGGGATTGTCGTAGAATTTTTTTTGAAATTTTCCAAATAAAGTCTTTCAAAATTCACAACTAAATGGATCGGCCCTTATAGTAGGTAATACTTAACATACAGGTCTTAATAGACTTGGAAACATTTATCTGGAAAAGTTGTATATGGCAGCAAATTGTGTTTGGATTGACAAGAGACATAAGCATTGAAGGATCACATGGCTGTGTCTTCCGTCGCAGTCTAAAAAATTTGGTAGCAGTTGAGTCTATATACTTGTTGGTGGACCTTGTGCCCTACCAATTTTATGACTACCTGCAAACCACAAAACTTATTTGAAATTTTAGAGATGTGTGGATAGGAAAATCCCCTTGAGACTTCCTTTCAATACAGGATTTTCAGACGCATTTGTCTACGATTACTTAACAGAACCAGATTAGCATTCTTTTGATGGCATCAATCTTACAATTTCAGACGTAATATGACAAGTTAGCGGCAGTATGTACCTACTGCATGTCCAATATGAATCACTTTACGTACGTAAAACTCTCAGCCAGCCCAGGAACATTGCCTCACCTGATTAATCAACTTTTTCCTGCAAATTGTTCTTTCAAGAGTCCGGTAGGCAATTAAATATTTCCTATTTCAGGTCCACTGATATTTAGCTTCAAATGGTGCTCGAACATTAAATCAGTACAATTTGTTGGTTACTGTCTCATGGAATCTTCTAGATTGCCAAAATAAAAGAAAACACCTCCACAGCTTGTTGAGATCGACAGGATACTAGATGAAACAACAAACCCACATGCTAGGGGTGGATTTTGGTTTGGGTAGAGCCATGAAGTATGGAGTGCCATTGGTGTCTTCATTGAGTGAGTAAATGCAATTTATTAGTAGACCTAATTAAGAATTTTTGGAGTACTAGTCCAATTAATCGGCAGTTTGAATTGGTGGTCACATAGACAAGTTCCTGTCTAAATCATATATGCCTCTTACCCAAGGTATAAAATATCAATCATATCGGAAATATCGGTAGTCCAAAAACACGGAAATATCGATGAAAATATCGGGATATTATCGATATCGATAAAAATTGAATAAAAACCACGGAAATTGTAAGAAAAACTTGGAAATTTTTATTGAAACTTTGCAGGGTGTTTATTTAGTCAATTATCTATTAGTTTATCACAAAAAATTGGAAGGAAATGCATTGCATGATGGATTTAACTGATTTAAGTTGATTATATAGCGAGCTGGCAAACATTGTGAGTGTAGAAAATATGTAGTAATTAATGAAAGAAGTTTAAACACACCATAATCATTTATATATAATGAATTAGTACAATATTTTACACTTTATACATTGCATGGTAAGATACATGAGTGACTTAGTACCACATAGAGTTCCTATGAGGTTCAAATTTTTCACTATCTTCATCATCTCTATGTGTAGAGTAAGTGTATTGTGAAGAGTAGTTATCAAATGATAAATCCCCAAAATAGTTTTGCATGTAATTGTTAACATACCACCCATATGGATCCAAGATTGGTTGACGTTGTCCATAAGCAAAATCATTTGAAGATTGAGTCTCGGATTCTTTCCATGAGTCGCTCGATTCCATCCCAACAGGAATGGGATATGAAGGGTAGGGAAATGGTTGGTTATGAGTATAATCATAGTTACTACTTCCCACTCCAACAGAGTCCGAAGTTATAAATAACGAGTCATCTTCTTGACTTAACAAAATCCCCTTGCCTCTTTCTCTACGAGTATAGTCTTTCCCTATGGCACTAATTCCTGGTCTTGCCCGCCTACTGCCATGGTCCTCATCCTGTGTTGCATGCGTGAAGTTTGCCTCACCAGTGAAGGGGCTCATAAATCCGGGAGGTGGTCCAACATAGTTTCCATATCCACTACTACCTCCAGCTCCACCTCCGGTGGTAGGTGAAACCACCATTATTTTGTCCACGGTATGAAATTGTACAAGTTGTAATTGTAAAAGTTGTCAGGGTTTTGAATTATTTAGATGCTTTTGAATGAAACCACCATTATTTTTGTCCATGGTCTGAAATTGTACAAGTTGTAATTGTAAAAGTTGTCAGGGTGCAAACCACACACGCACACAGACACACGCCACCACACACGCACACAAACATCACACATGCACACAGAGACTCTTGATCATTTTCTCCTCCCTTCTCTCTTCTCCCTTCTCCCACACACACACACAGAGATTTCTCGATCCTTCTCTCTTCTCCCTTCTCCCACACACACGCACAGAGACCTCAGTCTCTTGATCCTTCTCCCACATGGCCTTCTGCTCCTCCTTCGCCTTCCTCCTCATCCGCGTCTTCCGCCTCGTTGGCGCCGTCTCTCTCTCGAAACTCTCATCTCTCTCCTTTCTCTCTGCACCAAGACCCACATACACACACGCACATCATCGCACCTGCTTGAGGAAGACACCCATCGTCATCAGCAACCTCGTCTTTCTCCCTCTCCTTCTCGTCTCTGCAACTCGACGAACGTAGGAACCCTCCGGCGAGTTTCTTGAATTTTTCCATTTAGGTAAGCTTCGGTTTACCTCTTTCTGTTCTAGATTGAAGCTTAGATGTGAAATTTAAGTTCTATCTCGTGTTTTTGCAAGGTTTTTGGGACGAAATCAGCTCGGGAATAGGCACATCCATCTCCGGCGAGGCCGTGGGTGTCGACGAACTTTCCGAACACCTCCGACCGTTTCATGACAAACGGAAGTTATAAAAACATTTCTCTCATCTTGTATTTCATTTTGATACCTAGATCGAAGTCTAGGGTGCTCTTTTACAGTCGCCCGGAGCTGTAGAAGCTCCGGCGTTCTTCTCCGATTCGTACATCTCTAAAATATCGCGATATTATCGGTAATATCGCGATATTGTCGATATTATCGATAATATTGTGATATTTTGACGAAACCTCAGTGGATAAGTATTAAAATATTGGTAACTCAAAAAATCGATATTATCGGCGAAATATCGCCTATAATATTGGCATTTCAGACCTTGCTCTTACCTAACCCACATGATTCTTTGGGATGGAATCACATTTGGTGGTCCTTCTTGTTTGTTATACATATGTGGTAGGGAATAGGGATGGGCAATGGTTATGGCGGGCGGGTAACCGCGATTATTTACCCATAACTGTTTATGCTCGTACTCGCATAACCGTTTACCTGTTGGGTAATTGCCTAAACGATTATGCCCATACCCATAACAGTTTATAAACGGTTAACCATACCCATAACTATATACCCATTTAACCGTAACCGTTTAATACCTGTTTACCAACTTTTTAACCCGTTTATCTTTTCTTTTTTTTACCGTTACCCATTTTTTCACCCATCTACATGTTTTTTAACAACTTGAAAATTAAAAAAAAAATTGTCATAATTTTCTTTTTTTTTGACACTTAAACACCGTTATAGGTACATTCATCATACATTTCCATATTTTAATTTTTGAAGTCCTTATATCATTCGAATAATTGAAATAATAGTTTACAGACGATATTTATAACTGTTACCAATGAAGGTAAAAATAATATTTTCTAAGTATTATTGGGTTACAAAATTGTTTAGAAGACATTTCTGTCAAAACATTTATGTCAATTTCATGGTTACCCACAAGGAATTTAAATTAATTTGGCCAATTCCTTGATGATGAGAATCATCATTCATGTAGCAGTGTTATTGAGAGAAGAACCGATGAATTCCTTGCTAATTTATTGGATGCTAAGTATTATTGGATCGAGAATATGGTTTGTGTTAGTTTTACCTATATAAATAAATGGGTAAACGGTTACCCGTTTATAACTGAAGTTAATACCCATAACCGCTTATTTAAATTTCGCGGGTAAACGGTTATACCCATAACCATTCATTTATCTAAACGGTTACCCATAACCGTAACCGTTTAATTTAAATGGACGAGTAACTGCAGTTACCCATAACCAATGATTATTTGCCCATCCCTACCAATGATCATGTCGGCCTATCTTCATTTTTGCAACATTTTTCTTGATTAGTTGGAAAGACAAGTCCATGTGATTTTCCATGAGAAAATGAATAAAACACATGGCTCTGCTACGGTCCTTCACCAATCGTATATTTTTTCCATGACCGATGTCCTTGAAAAATTGGAAGACATAACCATGTGAACATAATTGCTTGAGCAGCTGGGTCTCTGGCCCGTCCGCATTCAATTGCCTCCAACTTGTACACGAACGTATCAAATTCCTAACCTATATCCGAACCAAAGAGATTGAGTCCTCACATTTTATATAAGCTAAAACTGTTGAAATAGCACCATGGGAAAAAAAATCTTGTCTCAAGCATGTCTTTGATTTTTTTATAGACCTTCATTTAAGAGAGGCTGGACACTGGGTTGCTTTCGTTTGGTCATCGACTCGTGAAGTGTTGTTGATAACTTGTAGACAAGTCCATGTGATTTTTGATGAGCAAACTCTCTCTCACTTGGGTCCATCCCAGTGCTTCATCACCAATCATTTTAGGTAACTGACGGCTTGCAGCATACCGCTTTAGCTATATATGCACACAGTTCAGGAGCAAACCAACACAAGTCTTCTATTCCCAAGCATATCTTATCAAAGCACATTCTGTCCTGAAATTCATTTGAACTCTTTATTGTTCCTTTTTACAGA